AACTGCATGTTTATTAATTTCAGCATTCACAATTTTTATGTATTTTTTGCTATTAGGTCCAATTTCTTATAAATTACAATTCAGTTTTACCGTTGTAACCAGTATCAGTCCGAACTACAACAGAACCGTCGCTCATTCGACAACTTAATTGCTTTCGCTTTCTTGTGTATCATGGAAATAATAACACGTAAACCAGAAATTTTGATTTTCCATTTAAATTACATTTCTTTTGGTCAGCGAAGACAACAATCATCAATGTTTTCGATTAGTCAATACGATCACGAGCAAATTACAAACGAGCCTCTTTATGTTTCGTGGTTCATACCAATTTCTTCTTTAGTTTCATCCCTTTTAATTGTTTGCAATTCTTCAACAGACGTACGTTTCTACTGTTAGCTGGTGTACCAAATTTTACCCGTAAATTGTTTTGCTGCACCACAGAATTTGGATACTTCTCTTAAAATTGTTCGTTTCTGGCGACTTGAGAGTACTTGTGGACGGTCTGTACCTTTCTTTTTATCATAGTTTCGCGAGTTTTCTAGCAAATTATAAATCACTTTTCCACTTCAATTCACATATCTTATGAAATTTTCTCTTGTACGAACTATTTTTTCAACTTCAACGTTCGTTAATTTCTTTCCGCGATACATTATTTAAGAAATTAATTTTGCGAGTATGATTAGCAATAATTGCAAACGTATCTACGTATACACGTCACGAAATACGTCCGATGTGCTCTACGATTTATCATCAACGAAACGCGAAGAATTAACCCTCTATGGGCCCGTGTAACTTTCAAGTCACATACTAATATACCGATATTTTATTAAATAATTGAACTTTCTTCCACAAAATGGCATAAACGTCTTGTTGTACAACGTCTCCTTATTAACCGGTAACTTTCTTGATAACCGTTGTTACTTCAAAGTTACAATATGTATTCGTTATGATAAAATTGTCGAAACTGCTGAATTCACTGTTATTCTGCATTTATAGGTTGATATTTGCTAATTTTACGTTACATCAATTCTTTTACAGTCGAGAAAAATATTCGGCCCATAGAGGGTTAAGAAGAGTTTCTCTAATTTTGTTTTCAACAATTGCAAAAATTACGAAACGTACTATTAGTGGGTCGTGTAATACGAAATATCAAATTAAACAAGAATTTAACGAGGATTGTATGAACTTTAAGTTAACTGTCAATTTGCAAATGATTAGAAATCTAACATTTCATACTACACGACCCTCATACTCTGTCGTTGGCTGTATACCTTCTACTATCTCATCGTTAGTTTTGCATTTGCACGTTCTTTCCTAATTTCACCGACAAAGCATTTTTCGTTTTGGAGTAATTATTAACAGTAGCAATTGATAGTTTATTACTTTCGGTGATCGTTTATGAACAGGAACGAATATACACATTCACTGGTTAAACTTGAAAAAATATTTGGCTGCTGGTCCCTTTAACCCTTTAACTTACAACAACGTGTCAGACTCGTGGCAGAGATTCTTGTCAAGATGTGACAAAAATAGGATTACAATTAAGTTTTCTCAATAATATAACTAACTTTCGCTTTAATTTGTAAGATCAACGATCCTAAATGTAATTAACCTGTAACAGATAAGCTTTTGTTACCTGATACAGCACTAAAACATTAAATGGCTGACGCTTATATGCATAGTCAGAAAAGAAATCATAGGTTAAGGGGTTAAGCTGCAAACGACAACTTCAAATGTTTGTATTACACGTACTTTATGCGTTAGAAATAAATAGCCCTTGCTAATGGTAACAATATTGAAAAGAAAAGTGTGACGAATGGATTCAGTATTAAAGAAGTAATAGCTTACAGCTGCGTTTCAAATAATTGGCATTAAAACTTCTTAAGGAAGTAAATCGTCCATTTCCTCTATAAGAATATTCTTCTATATTTTGAAACAAAGCACGTGGCAAATTATACGAGCAAATACGTGAAAAGAATGTAACAAAAAACAGTGATTGTCGCATATTACCTTTACGATTTAGAACAATCTACGAGAGTTTGGAGTTGGCTATTGAATATATCTCAAAATCGATATCTGTTCGCATTCGTTCGAACTAATTTCCTAACTGCAGAAGCTTCTGAACATTAGCGAAAATAATCCGACTCGGTTGATTCGAACTTGTCGACGTTTTTCAGTTACCTTTTCGGGTGTTTCCGAAAATCTTGGAAAGAAAAAAAGTTACTTCACAGAACACATTTCACGTTTCGACAAATTCCAGGCAACAGGACCGGGGGGGAAATAAAACAACGTAGCACAAAACCGCAAACGACGACGAATTGGACTGTTTCAACAGCACACCGTACGAAGAGAATTGAAGCGTATCGCGAATCTGCGAAACCCATAGGAAAATGAACGCACGAGGCAGCGAGAAAAAGGCTCGAAAAGAGGAATCATAGCATAATAAAGGACGGCACAAAAACCGTTTCGAATGAACGAACAGCGAACGAAGAAAAGTAGAGAAACTTTGCTTTCGATCGTGTGTCACACCTTTGCGCGGCTGCAAAAAGAGAAAAAGAAATGAAAAAGAACGCTACGACACGCAAACGGAACGCAGAGGAAGGCAAACGGAAAGGAATCGAGAGAAAAAAAACTGGAAACTCGTTCTTATGGCGCGGGGGATATTGGTTGAGGTGGCGGGTGGAAAAGCGAGAATACTCACGAGTTTAAGGAAGAAACGAGCAGGATATGTGGCCGCAGGAGCGATCGCCGCTGACTAAGAGGAACTACGCCCGCCAAGAGATGCATTATCGATCTAGTCTAGAGCCCCCGGGAACACCCCTTCCTCGACGGCCCTGCCACCACCCACCTGTACCACACTGTATAGCAACAGTCGCACCTCATCTCCGACAGGAACGCCGCTCCTGCGATTGGTCCTGGCCCTGCATACAAGACGACTTACCCACCCTGCCATCGGCGCAGGGAATTTTGTTTTAAAGACGAGCAACCGGTGTTCCATCAATTTCATCCCACACTACTCTCTCATTCTGGATATACCATTGCTTTCTCTCTCTCTCTCTTTCTCTCCCCCCTCTTCCTTCGGACCTGATTCACCCACCCTTTTCGTATAGTCCTTTCGAGGTGATCGAAAAGGCTATATGCCTGTCCGGTACAGATTTTCTCGGCTAGTTTTCGCTAAAATTCATCCCTGATATCGTCCCCTTGTCTTATGCTCTTCGAATATGCACGACTAGTTGATTATGGCCTCGATCTTGCACAATACGCGTTCTGTCGATAAACTTCACCATCTTACTCTGTTTCACTTTACCTTTTCATTTCACAGACCGAGTACTGTCGTATGTGAGATAGTGTACAGGCTGGTCTGGAAAAGAATCGGATAATCTAGAGACACATGGTATTTACTAGGGATAAAGAACAAAATGATATGCTAACACAGGTCCACGAATTTATTCCGAAGGAGATATTATACGTTTTTCTATTAACAATCGTTTCTGTCTAACGCTCACTTATCTTGTTAATATTGCTCGTGATTCCCTTCCGCAAACACGCCCAATTTACACCGAAATGAAAGGCGCGTGTACAGGATCCTTCGTTGAATATTCAAATAAAACGTTTTATCCATTTTCTATATATTTCTAAATATATTAAGTGTAGAAATGAATTCACATAGTTGGTTCAAAGTC